TTTTGAATTTGTAACAAACAACACCAAATATAAAAAATACACATTAGTTAATATATAATCATTAGACAAACAAAGAATCAATTAAAAGCCAATTTACACGATCTTTAAATTAATATATATCATATAATCATATAATAAAATCAGTATTTTAAAAATCTTGAAGTTCTTGTTTTTAAATCATCTTGTATGTATTAACGTCGTTGTCTATAAACGATGTTAATAGACATTTTTTTTGTTGAATTTGCAACTAATAGATAATTAAGAGTTGGAAATATTATCATTTCTTTCTGATATTGATAGAATTAAATTTTAATTCAGTTATCATGTTGAAATGTTTTTTTGTCGTATAATCAATCAAATTAATTGCTTATTTGTTGTTTAAAAAATACACGGTTTAATAAAACAATATCAGAGCACATAATATCATATAATACATCGTTCACAATTATTACAACATTATGTTTTTAATAAAAATTAACACGTTTTTAAATTATTTATAAAAAATGCTTGTGATATAATCTGAACAAATTACAAATGAATTTGACAACATATCATTAATATATTGTTTGTTTTTATAAACAACCACCAAACGTTGTGGACGATGTAAATTACTCAATAAAATTACTTTTTGTTTGTTTTATAAAAATCTCCATTTGATAAAATGTTTGTGAATAATGATGATTTTTTTATAAGGTAATTAATTTGAAAATGCCGATTTTTTTTCTTTGCTTTTCAAAAGACATCAAGGTCTTTAAGTTTTATAAATAAACATTTTTACGATCTTTTTATTTTTATTTTTTAGTATTTTTTTGGTAAAAAGGTAAAATTTTATACTTTATATTGGAATAGGTAAAATAAATTTTACTTTTTTTTTCCGTCAACCTTATATAAACTGTTGTTATAAATATTAGAAAAAAATTGTTTTATAAATATAGATTTAATAAATTAATTATTGTTACAAATAATTATATATTTTTTTTGTTTTGAGATGCTCAATAATTAAAAAAACATTAAAATACCACCACGATTGTGATTGTTTTTATTATGTGTATAAATAACAATCCAAATTTTAAGTAATAGACAAAATATTTTGTGTAGTTTATTAGATTTAATTTATATAAACAAGTTATATAAATTTATAATTAATATAATAATTTATTTAACTTTATAAAAAAACGAAAACAATTAAAATAATATAAACTGTTTTTGTAACACAATTTGTAATAATGATTTTATATTATTTGTATAACTATTTGAATTTTTTAAAAACAACTACACACCCAATTATTATAAATTTAAACAAATACCTAACTTCAAAATTATTAAATGTTGTTCTTTCTTCTTGTCGTGTTTGCCTCAGCAGAATTTTTGTTAACTAGTCTTGATGGTTATTTTATTGTATCTGAATTCGGGAAGTGTTTATTGTATCAACAATCCGGATATAGAAAGGTTGATAAAGTAGGTGATAAAATTCAATGGTCATCATCAACAACGAAATGTAGCGACTGGAAAGCTGAAGATCTTAAAGATCTTAACACGTACCAAAAAATTACTGATAAACTTCCCACTTATAAGTATTATGTAGAACAGTACTACAATTTCGATGGTTGCACAGCTGCAGATACCACTGCTGTTCCTGGTATTTATGGTTATGATACTTGTTATTATGATGAATCAATTAGTAAGTCTTACAAGTCAGAAATTGTTGACAAGAAACTCACAAAAACTGAATACAGCTCAAAGGACTGCTCTGGAACGGCAACAAGAACATTAGATCCAATTGAATTGGAAAAATGTGTTATTGAAAATACTAAAAATTACATTTATAAACAGGATGCAATTCCTGTTGTCGAAGGTTGCAATGTTATTTTTATGCTTCTTGCTTTGTTATCCGTCTTATTATTCTAAATCATTTGATGGGTTTATTTTTTTGTTTAGACTTAAATTAACGTTCTTATTTTTTAATTGTACTTGTTAATACTGGAATTTTAATTCAATTTCAGATGAATTTTCTTTTTCGGCTTGTGTCATGTCATGCACAGAATATAAACTTTAAAAAACCAGACATTTATTTATAAAATCGAGATTTCTTAATTTTTAAATTACTCAAATATTGTATTATGTTACTTTATAAATTAAGTAATGTAATTTAATTTTAGATTGTTATTAAATAGTCATCAATCTAATATAAATTAAATAAAAAACATTTTATTTCAATAAGGAAATTAAATACCACAAATAATAGTTGGTTCTAGTTTAAATTGAATTAATTTTTAAGTGCCAATCATAATATAAACGAATTAAAAATTATATAATTTTATATTTTTTATATACAATACATATAACCATTATCAATAATTAATTTTATTTTAAATTTAATCATTTAATATTGTTATATTAAAAAAACACAATTGTGTAAATTTTATAAAATGGTCGTTGATAAAAATGTATTATAATATTAAAATTATTTTTATTAACATTTTACTACACAATCTAAAATTACACGGATGTTTATCCAATCATTTACATTTATTACCATATTTATTAAATACATATTGATTTTTTAAAAATACATTTTATAATAATAAACTACTCAATTTATATTTAATAGAAATTGTCACTTTAAAATTATATACAATGCTTAAGCCAGTTATTCGTTTTCCACTTGCTGTCATGCGAAATATATTTACTTATCTGACTCAAACTGATATAGAACCATTTATTAATATATCCCACAAATGTGCCAAATCCATTGAATCAATAACTATGAATCCATGGTCTAAATCTTCAAACGACCGTTCAGAAGCAATTATCAAAAAGATTTTTAAATTTTTCCCTCGCCTTGAAGTGTTACAAGTAGACCCCGAGACTGCAAAGACCATATCCGATGATATATTATCTAAAGTTAAACACCTTAGATTATCAATAGATAATCACGATCAATTAGTTATCAACGACAATATTCTGAATCTCACTGACACTGTTTATAGAATAAGTGATAAGAAACCAGATACTCCACTGACCAATAAAGTTAGAGCTTATATCAATGACGATAGTGGATTAACACATATAACCAATTACATCGAGGACTATCCCAATCTCAAGACTGTCGTATTATATAGTGAAGATTTCAGAATAGATAGAGATGCAGTCAAAAAAATACAAGCTGCTGGTCACATTATAATACACATCAAATTTACAGTTCGGACCTTTGATAGATACGACGCTTTCATCGTTTAAGAGATAAGGTTGGCAACACTAACATATACTACAGTTTTGAAGCAGTAGCAACAATTGGTGTTTATTTGATGATTCGGCCTAATATAGATCCAAGAGACTTACATGGCGTCTTTTATGAAAATGGAGAAAAGGCTAATCAGTTATATGCAATTAGTGAGGCGCGCATAAGAGTCGATCATTTCTGCGACGCAGATTTGAGATCTTTAACCTGTTTGACTAAATTTTATTTGTACGGCGGGACTGTCAGTGTCAAACTGCCAACTTCTCTTGTGCGACTTGAACTTCATAACCATTCTAAAGCAGAGAATATCGATCAATTGACACAACTCACTTATTATAAAATGGAAAATAAAATGATCATTGGAGAAGATGATGTTAAAAACCCGGCTAATACGCCTTGCCAAAAGGCTGATGAAGATAAAGAAAAAGAAGAACAAAAATGGTCATACGATAGAACTAATTCGTGCAATGATGATGACTACGTGAGAGCTATGAGAGAAGAACAAGGACCAATCGACTTACAACCCAACTGGTAAGTTAAAAATTCGTTTTATTCATTAAAACTTTTTTGTTTTTAATGATCTAAATTTAAATAATTGGAATATATTGTCAATAATTTTTAATAAATTTATCAAATAAATGTATTCAAAACAAAGTTAATTAATAGTATTATTTTTATAAAACATTTTTTAATAATATAAATATCACATTTTAATTTTATATTCAATTATTACAGTATTATAAAACAAATGATGTTAATTTTTGTTTTTTCATTCATTACAAATTATAATTCATCAAATGTTTACATTCTATATTATATATTTATTAGTCATTGTAACTCGAGATAAAGACTTAAAGCGTCTTCATTATTGCCCTTTTGCGACGAATTTTATGGTGATAAATACAAAAACACCTTAATTATTATAAATATAAGTCGATTATCAATTTGTATGATAAAACGGGGTTAGACTTAATTTATATAACAAACAAAAAAAATAAAACGTGCAAACTTTTTTATAAATGTTACCTCAAACCAGAACTTAAAAATATAATATTAAAACTGAATACTGTTATTTCAATTGATATATTCAATATTAAAAGTGTCATTAACTTTGTAGAAAGCGTCTCTCTGAACCACAGTAGATCGATTCATGTTTTTTGCACGTGTTAAGTGTGGACAACACGAAAAGGCATCCATTTTAATCATCTTTACGTTTGCTCCCATCCAAACCTCTTTTAAATTCGATAATTTAAACGCAATTTGATCAATTACGGTGACTTCGTCTGGTATTATTAAAACGCCATTACAATCAATCGAATTCATATCAATATAATAAAGCACGACATCTCCTTTAAACGTGTATTTATTTTTAATTACTTTGTATATGTAATAATTAACACTTCCTTCAAAAACAAAATTTGAAGGAATATTTAAAAAATCGATGTTTTTGATGTTGAAACATTCGTTCAGCACACAATTATTTGTTATGTTTTGATCTATAAAAGTGACTGAAGTGAGTTTGTCACATTGTTTTATTTTAAGACTTGTATTTGGAACAATACAAAGTTCTTCAATTGTTGCGTGTGTGAAAGTATTAGTAAAATATGTGCTTGCTGGAAAACTTGCTGGAAACACGAGTTTTCTTAATTTTTCATTATTTTTAAATGCGTTTATCGACATATTTGTAATTCCCTCTGGAATTGTCATTTCTTCGTATTTGTAATTTTCAAAGTTTGCGTCTGATATAATTGTTCGAAGGTTTTTAATATTTAAAGGAATTATTCCTTTGAACACATCGACATCTTGTTGAGTGTAACAAAACTCATTAATTTCAAGATTCTTCGCATCTAACATTGCTTTCATCCAACATGCAGCTCTCACGTTAATTACTTTAGTGTTAATGGCATCGATTTTCTTCAGTCCAGTATAATCATATAAATTGTCAATTTTAACATTACTGTTCAATGTTATTGCAGTGAGACAAGTCATGAAACGTTGAGTTCCAAAAGATATCACATGCGACAAATCAAGTCGTTTTAAGTCACATCCCGATAACGCATCGATTCGAATAGTCGTCACTGTGCTCGCCAGATTTATATCGGACAATCCTCTCTTGTTAACGTAAACATTAGATTGAATTTCGTCCGATAAAAAATCTGGTAAAATAAAGTTGGTATAGTCCTCCTTTATCGTTATGGTTTTGTGCTTTATATTAAGAAATGCTTTTGAGGAAGATGCCGTTATATCGAAGTCAACACTTTTGACTCCAGGCGCCGTAACATTTTTAATCGATGTTACTTCATCAAATGCATATTTCGCACTTTTTATTATGTTAGTTCCCAAAGTAATAGCACTTAGACTATTGCAACGACAGAAACAGTAATTCCCAAACACTCTGATGTGTTCCAAATTTATTTCTTTGAGGTTCGCACATAAGAAAAAGCATTTATATGGAATTTCATATAAATTACTTGATAAAGTAATTGAAACTAACAAAGTGTTAAATTCAAAACACGAAAGACCAAATTTTACGATGTTAGAACAGTCCATTGCAGTCAGTTTAGCACTCGTATTTTTAACTGCTTTGTCTAAAAAAATGTTTGCGTCTTTATAAGAACATCCATAATGTTGACTATCAAATCTAAAAGTTCTTAATGGACATATAACATGTTTACCTTGGTTTAATTTAATGCATTTGTGAAGAGGTGTGGGGTAGTGGACATAGTATTGGCGATATTTGGAAAGAAATTTATCTTTTTCTGTATAGAGATGAAGAGTCTCGACATTTGGAAAATACTTTTGTGTTATAAATGAAACTGAAATGGGATTAAAATGAAACATCTCTGGTATTTCCTCTAACTTTTTACACACAAAAACCATGTTGATATAATCAGAAATATAATTAAAGTATTTGGAAACAATCATCATTGAGTAGCGATCAAGTTGAACTGCCATTTGTATGTTATAAAGTTAGTTTTTAATTTTAAATTAAAGATCATTGAGGTATTACTTTAATTAAAGTCACACGCATGTTTCAATAAATAATAATTATACATCGTCTTTATTAATATTTTACTAAAAATTATAATCGTTGAAATCTTCGACTGAATATTATTTATTATAATTTAACATGTTATAAAATGCAAAAATGATTAAAAACAATCAACCTTACGATACTATTACTATTTTTAATAAAACACATTTTTTATTTTTTTAAAACTTGATATGATATTCAAAAAAACTTACCTTGTGGCGACTCGTTTGAAATGTAATCTATAAACAAATTAATTTCACAAACAATAAATTATGAGTTTTCCTTTTTTTTCTTCGATTTTTGAAAATGTTTTAATGAAAAAAAAACACCAACACGAACGGTATTGGTGTTTTCATCGACAAAACATATTTCTTAAAAATGTTTTATATAAAAAAGAATTGTATAATTAACATGTTACTATTTCCAAAGACATTTTAAAACAATAAAGTAAGGTCGTCGATTGTCACACCATTGTGTTTAAATCAATAATCAACGCATAATTTTTTATTTGTGAGTCTGTGTCATTTACGCGCATATTTACGCGACCGAGTTTAATTAAGATTAAAAATTAAATTAAATTGTATTGTCCAACAAAGATAGTTTTATGCCAGGAAAAGGCTATTTGTGAAACATGTTTTATACTTTGCGATGTGTGTAAATAAGAAGTGTGCGTAAACAAAACATGAAGAACAATTAAAAATATCTGTTGATTCACAAGTGTATTATTATTTCAAAAAATTGAAGAAATGAATTAATTCAAAAATATTAGTTGTTTTTGTTAAAATGTCTTATTGTTATTTTACTAAGATCGTTGCAAAAAATGTTGTTAGAAATGAAATCGGTTATTTCATTTTTTATTTCCAAAAATATAAAATGCAAAATGCAAAAATTTAAACAATAAAGATTTTTATAAAACAAAAAATAAATGGAAAGTGAACGTGTTAATAAGTCACAATACCACACTCTGGCATTTTCCGGTTTTTATTTTTTCGGTGGTAATGGTTTACAAAATTGCATTAAAAAATAACATTGCGAAAAGACAAAAACCAGACAGATGAGCTTGAAAAATAGGGTGCGCAACCGCGAGAGTAATTTTTCATTTTTTATGAAATCTTTTTTCATTGTAAAAAAATAGTGAAATATGTCAATTTATTTTTTATTCATAAAAATAAGCAAAATTGTAAAATCTTTTTTAATATTGAAACGTGTAAACAGTATTTGGTTAAAAGTAAATAAACTTTTTGTTTGTCCCAAAAGTCTATAAAAAACAAATAATAATTAAAAACAACTTTTTGATATTTCGTATTTATTTTAAGACAAATTAGAACAATTGAAAAAAATAAGATAACAAAAGAAATTTTTGTTATATAACTTAATAGATAATTAATTGGCAGCAAATTTTATAATTTGGTATAAAGAACACATTGTTGTTTTTTATTTCAAACTTTATTGTAAAATTCAAAAAAACAACACAAGCAACATAATAATGTAATTGCAAAAAGTACTTACAAACATCAAGACACCGTTTAAAACTCTATATAAATTGTGTAGTAATAAACATGATAGACATGAAAACGAATTAATCAACAATTGATTTTTTAAATAAAATGATATGAGTCATTTGTAATTTATTGTAATTAAAGACGACTTTGACATTCAATTTATTCTAGTAATTGAAAAAATAAAGACGATAAGTTCTTATTTAAAAAAACAGTTTGAATATGTAAACAAAAATAAATAATAAAAACAAAGATAATTAATCGTTAAATGTTAATAAAAAGATTGTTACATCTCTGTATGTTTCAACAACTTACGGCCACAAGAGACTTATAATTTTTTGTGGGTTTTGAATTGTATACAATTAAAAAAGAGTTAAAAACAACAATAAACAAAAAAACAAGAAAATTTGATAATTATTATTAAGTAAAAAAATTTGGTGATGTTTATTTGCTATCTATTTTATTGTATTATATGTAGATAAAATATAAAAAACATTTGGTTTGGTGGTTATAACTTCAACACTCAAACTTTTACTAATTTAATCGAAAACAATTATTGAAAGATAATAAATATTATGTACAACAAAAAATTGTCTAAAAACTCATTATATCATTTGAATGATGAAACAAAACGTCTATATATAATATTTTAAAATAAAAGATGTAAACAAATTAATTTAATTGTCTTTTTAACTAGATCTTTAATGCTGTTGTAGTTTAACATGTACCATGATATTCAGAAACTTATTTTACTTAAATTTTAGCTTGTTTTCTTTTGTTTTTAATTGTCAACAATAATAAAAATAATTATTGTTGTCATAATTAAAAGGTGAAACAAAATAACGTGAAATTGTTGAAAATATTGTAATTGTATCTTTTATTCGTGGTGGTAAAAAAGCGCAAAAATGTATTTTCAATTAATGGTTTAAATAATTATGGCATTAAAGATTTAAAGTAAAAATGTAATTTATAAAAATAAAATGCATAATAACAAATAAAAATATTTTTTTTGTTTAATTTTTTGGCTTTGATTTTTTGGCCGTTAAGACAGATTATTTTAATGTAATATAAGATCTTGAAATTATGTCGATCGTGATTATTTATTAAAATAAAACAATTAAAGCAAAGTATGTTTTTGTGTTAAAAAACGGGCAAACAGCAAATATTTTGTCAATAGTTGCGCACCCAAATGTATACGTGTTGGGTTTGGGTTTAAATCTTATTCACCGCAGCATTATTGCGTTTGTATTTATTTCCGAATTTGTTATGTCTCTAATTCTGTTTTTTCTCTTTATATTTTTGGAATTTCCACGAAGTCGTTTTAAATCGGAATAACATTTCTTTTTTGGCAATTTGTACATTGCATATATCAAACAACTTTTCATTGTTATTTTGTGTGCAATACACAATCAAATTACTTTTAATCGTGTTTGATAATGATTTCCAACGTTAAATGACTTGTTGTCAACAAAGTCGTTAATTCTATTTAATGTTTGAAAATATTAAATAGCCTTTACAGTGTATGTGCAAAGTGCATAGAGTGTATATAACTCTCTTGTCATTGATTAAATTTCAACAACTCGTCTTTGGACAACTCTCCCATTTCAACTTGTGTTCAACACATGAAACTTGTGTTAAAATAATAAATAATAAACTAATACAACAACACTTGTTTTTTCTTAAAAGAAGTTTTAACTAGTTTCAACAAAATTGAAAGTGAATAACTTTTTGATAATTTTGAACCTATTTTTTCCTTTGTTTTTGTGTTTTTTGAATTTCTTTGGTTTTTTTTGAAGCTTACAGCTTGATACCATTGTTATTTTTATCACTAACTAACAATCCACATGTCTCTTCACAACTGAATTTAGTTTTATCTGGATAAAAATAGTATTTATTTTAGATTGTTTCAGATTTTTTTTCAAAAACAATTTCATTTATTTCTTAAAAAGAATATTCAATTTGTTCAAGTTCCATTGGTGTCAACTGTTGTATAGTCTTCTTTGTCGTTGTTTTTTGGGGGGAACATTTGAAGTGGTGCATTGAACAAAATCGATCAATTAGCATCTTTTGTTTATTTTAATGATAGCCTTTAAATACTCCAACTCATCAATTAAATGAACAGAATACAATTCCTATTCTTCTTGTTTGATGAACGCATTTTTGTCTACTTGGGGTTTTCGTTTTTTTTTGTTTTTTTGGAAATTTACCGTCAATGCTTTTAGTTTCAAGTTGACAGTCTTATATAATTCTAAAAAATATAACAAAAAAATCGTGTTTATTTGGATGAAGTATTTGATAAATCGATTTAATAAAGAGTTCAATGATTCTGAACAGTTGTATGTTGATGTTCCATTTCATAGATACACCAATAGTGTATAAAGTATCTGCTCTTTAAATACTTGGTTTTAAAGTAATTTGAGTAATTTGTGATTTTATTATTATCCAAATTGGTGTTTTGAATTCAGTGGAAATTGTTTTCAATCTTTTTTTCTTGTAAAAATGGCAATGTCATTAACAACTGTGCAACTTTTTTTGAAATTGTCTGAATTATTGTATGTGTAAAGTAGACTCATTTAAACAATACTTTTAAACAATATCTGGTAAAGGTGAAAATAGCAACATTTACAATTAACTTCTTCGCCAAACGGTTTCTTTTTCAACACCAATTCACAATCGGCAACGATTGTAACTTTGCTGTGAAACATTGGATACAATATCAACTCTTTTGTTTTATCTAAAATTATTTTATAAGTTGTGTTGCTTTTATAAGTCAAACAAGTATATATTATTGGAAAGCTTTCATTGTTTTTGAGACACACAAATATTTTAAATCAAGATAAAAAACTAATTTGTAAAAACTGTGTATTGAAAACACAAGCAAACTTGGGCATGACTTAATGGTTCCATCCACATATATGTGACTTGTTGTTTTGAATATGTCTAGATTGTTTTTATTATTAAATAATATAATTTCATCAAATAAAACAACACAATTATTTTTATCTCATTGAATACAATAAAGTCAATTGTAAGTTAGTTCTTTGTTTTTTTAGCTTTTCTGACGTTTTTATCACAAGTTGACAATGTTAAAAAACAACCTTTAACGTGGTTTTCCGAAACTGTCTGTCTTGCATTTTTCGTGGTATTATCTTTTCAATGCCATTTTATTTTTGTATTAAAGTAGATTATTGTAATGGTCGTTAGATTCATGTAGATGCGTACAATTTTTGGTTTTTTCAATAAATTCAAAAGAAGTCATTTACCCATTTTCACAAATTATTTCAATTCTCTTGGAACAGCCATTATATGCACATTTGAATACTTTTCTGACTTTATTTATTTAAATAAATTTAAATCCACCAACGTAAAAAGTTTGTTTTTTTCTGTTAAACAAATGTTGTAAGATGTTGCATGTCATTACTATTATTAACCATTTGATTTTTGTTTAAAAATGATTGGTTATTTTTTTGAAAAAAAAATGAAATTTGATTTCATAAAAAGTACATTGAACTTTTTTGGAAAAAAATAAGGGAGTTGACCAAGTGTGAGTTGTATAGTAATCACATTTATCCACAACTTGAAATACTTATACTATGGCTTCACAACTACTTGGTTTGATAACACATTGTTTGCAATCACCTTTAAAAAAGTCCATTCACAATACGCTTTTTTAGTAGCTTATGTTACAAATTCTTCTGATTGTGGATATCCATAACTAAAGTTGAAGGGTGTCTAGATTTTTTGAAAAAATTAATGGAAAAAGTCGCATTTTTATTAATCTGTACAACGAAAAACAATGATTCAAATTAACATGTTTTTAAATTAAAAATGAAAAAAAACAAATCGTTATTTATTTAAAAAACAAAAAAAACAAAAAACTAGAAAATCAGAATGTTGACATTATCAGGTTATCATGTTATGATAGTCTCGAAGTACTTCGACGATATCAAAGACTTTATTAACTTAGAAATGGTATGCAAGAAATTTGGTGGTAACATGGAGAAGTTTCATTTTAATCCAATTCCATTGAATTTCAAAACAATTAGATACTTTCCAAACATCGAGACACTTCGTTTGTGGGATGAAGAAATGAAATTTTTGGTAATGATTTTCTTGTTAATAAGAAAGACGATAAAAATGTAAACGAACGAAAAATTGTTTTGAAAAGAGAGTTCTTTCGAATTATTGTGTGGTTTGATGTTGATTTTGAAACTGTTGACAGAAACAAGTCGAAACATTAAATTTATAAATGTGACTTACACTCTAAACGACATAGAAAAAATTGGTAATAATATACCACTGTGTGTGACATCAATTGGTAAAAATTGTTTTGATGATTGTGAAAATTTAAGCAGTGTTGTAATACCACCTAGTGTTAGATCAATTGGTCAATTTTGTTTTCGTTGGTGCGGTAATCTTAGCAGTATAACAATACCATCAAGTGTGACCTCAATTGGTGATTATTGTTTCTCTTATTGTAGTAATCTAAGTAGTGTTATGATACCATCAAATGTGAAACATATTAGTTATGGATGTTTCAAAAAATGTGACAGTCTTAGCAATGTGACAATATCACAATTTTCTACTATAATTGGAAAGAAATGCTTGTTTGGGTATGAAACATTATGCAGTTTAAAAATTTTACCAAGTGTTATAATAATTAACAATAAAAAGTTTAACCAAAACAAATTTTTAACAAATTTTACAATACCATCCACCGTGACATCAATTGACGACTATTGTTTTTCTAGGTGTAAAAGCTTAATTGGTGTTACAATACCATCAAGTGTGGCATTAATTGGTGATTATTGTTTCTGTGAATGCGATAGTCTAAGTAGTGTTACAATACCTTCAAGTGTGACAGAAATAGGTGATTTTTGTTTTTATTGTTGTAGTGGTCTCAGAAGTGTAACAATAAACCCAGGTGTGATAAATATTGGTGATTTCCGTTTCTGTGGATGTAATAATTTATGTAGTGTTACAATACCAACTAGCGTGGCATATATTGGTGATGATTGTTTCTCAAAAAACACAGTCATTCATCATGAACAATCAGATAATTGATTCGATAACGAAATTATTTAAATACAATAAAACATATAATATACTTTATTTCCATATATGCTGAATATAATGGCATTGTGTTTTATTTTAATAAATTAAATTATTTCAAAGTTAACATAATGATCAATAAATAATAAATAATAAAAAATAAAAATAAAACACAGAAATCTTTTTATTCTTTATGTACTAAAACAAATATATAATCATTAATACATTAAACGAATTTTATTTTTCACACAAATTAAATTTTTGATCATCTTGACAAACAAACAATTGAACAATAAATTTCATTCTTAATTTGTTATTTTAATATAAAACTATCTAAATTTTATTTTTCATACCCATTAGCACAACCAGGCGTATTAATTTTTTGCCTCGTTTTTGTTTTAAAAAACACGGAGCTGGTGTTAACTTTTTCCCATATAAACGCATTTAAAAAAAGACTTAAAAACAAAAAAATTCTATAAAATAACACTGAAGCATTTTTGGGCTTCAGCATTAATCGTGTGAATTTTGGTAAACGCCTGGTTGTGTCCATTAGTAATAATAGTCTTTTTTTATTCCCATTCATAGTCTCAAAATTCTTTAAACATTTCACGTTTTACACTTTCAAAAAAATAACCATCTGTCTTGTGAATGAATAAACACAATTTGGTCGTTTCATAAAATCCAAAGTCATTAACATCTGGAAGTTAAGTATATCTTAAACATCTATACACATTTTTGGCACATACTCATATTATACAAAAACAAGTTTTAAAAGATAAAGAAAAGACAAGTTATGAAAGTTATAGATCATATCTTTTTCTATTACGAACATGAATATGAATAAACACTTAAATAATACATGACATTATGATTATCTTTTTGTAATAAAAAGTATATATGAAAAATTAATACTTATACACTTGTTTATATAACATATAAATATCTGATGTTGTGTTTATTTAGGCATGTTATAAATATACATTTTGAAATAATATATCTTTTATTCTATAAATTATCACATTTAATTTCTATTTCAATTATTGATATGACAATGTTAGATATGTTTTTTATACAGTGTTACAATAACTTTATAATTTCGTATAAAATGAAATTAAATAATACAAAAACAGATATACAGTTGACCAAATAATTATCAGAGACTAAAGAATTGTAAGAAGTAAAATAATTAGTTTCAAAACCTTAATCAAGAACTATTTTTAAAAATAGAAATGGGTTTCTTACCATTATTTGGTGTACCTTTTTTACTTTTTTCATTAGTCATTTCCAAGGTAATTAACGGGAAATGCATCCTTCTTACAATTATTTGGTCTCTGATAATTATTTGGTCAACTGTAGGTCTATTTTTTATAAATAACAACATAAATACAAATAAAAACAGTTTTCAATTATTTAGAAAACAATTGACAGAAGCATGGCAAGAAATAATATAACTACTTTTCTTGTGACACTGCTCTGACTGCCAGTGCAAACTTCACACTCAAAATTTGTACATAGTGTTTTGTATGTATTTTTGTCTTTACACTTTTTGCATCCTTCTTGACATGTTTTGCACATTTTTTCTTCAGTTGATTTAAAATACCAATAAGAACAAGTAACGACACATATCTTTGTGTCTTCGGTTAATAAATGATCGGTTTTACATCTGTTGCATTGTATTTCTTCTTTACAACTATCACAGTTATCTGAACATTTCGTGCAAACTTTGTTTGATGGGTAATAACCAGTTGGGTATGTGGGTAAACATGATTTCTTGTCTAGTTGGAGATTATCAGTGGTGCACTCGGTACAAATGTCACTTAAAAAAACATTTACTGCATCCTGTAATTGATGAACAGTAAATGCATAGATTTTTACTTATCACATAACCATCAACACAAGAAATACACTTGTTTTCATTTTCACATGTCAGACAATTGTTTTTGCATTTGACACACTTTTTGTTATCGTTGTCTTTGTAATAATTAGAGGAACAATCGGCATTTTCTGTGCATTTTTTGTATCTTCAATAAGCAATTTTCCATCATCACAAGCAGTGCAAGTTGTACTGTCTGAACACATTTTCAATTTTCTGGACATTCCAAACAAATCTTAATTGGCGATTCAACTGAGTAGTATATGTCTCCACACGTTTCAACACAAATTTGTCTGTCTTTGACATAATAATCATCTTTACATTGTTGACAAATATCGTCTTTATAAACTCTACAATTTGAATGTGTTGAAAGACAGAAAGACATGTCAATTTCACAATAATAGTTTACTCCATACTTACTCATCATTGTGTCACTGCATGTTTTACACAACGATTCTTCTGATTATGAAATCGGTTGAACATTTTGTTTTGGAGTAATATTGACACATTGAAGTGTTGAACATTTTGCTTTAGTCGCATCAATATGTCCAAATGGTGTTGCTTGATAACTTTCCTTGACGTATACTTTTATTTTTTGATTAAATTCACTTTTAACATTAATGAATTTTTAATTTTTATTTTATATTGATTTTTTTAATGCTTAAAAATTCTTCAAGTTAAAAAAATTTAAGACTGTTTTTCTTTTTTTTTATATAGAAAAAATAATAGAAATTTAAACAATAAAACAATTCTCAAAAATATTAAACAATATAAATGCAAAAATTCGTGACACCCCAATACAGACATTTGAAAACCAGTATATTTTCTTGTGTATATATGTTCTAACAAATTGAATAAAACCGTTTAAAACAAAAATTATTTTACAAATTTGTTTATTTATCAATTATTGTTTTATCGATCTTTAAAACCTTGCGTTTTAAATCAACACAAATACATATATTGTTTTTGCAATGAATATATATTATCAATATGTTTTTTGCTATAAAATTTATTTGTTTTAAATATCATGAATTGGTTTATAATAAATTGTATTTTTTGTAAAAAAAAGATTAAATTTTGTTCGTTTAATTTGTTTTGTAATTTTTATTAAGAAATCGACTTTTTCGATAATTTATATTTCTCTTTATTGTTTACATAAACACTAATATTTGTCGGGTGGTTAATCAGAATATTCTAAATAATCTTTTCATCACTTGGTGAAAGCTGTTTAAATCGATGTACTAATTTAAACGGTGTTACAATACTATCAAGTGTGTCATCAATTGGTGAATATTGTTTCTAACGATGTAGTAGTTTAAGTAGTTTTACAATACCATTGAGTGTCACGTTGATTAGTTATGGTTGTTTTTTATCAAACATAAAAAATCGTCGTAAATAATTAAATTATTAGTTTTTAAAAATCATTAAAATAGATGACATTTCTATTTTAAAAGAGTCAGTGGATAAACTTACGATTTTTTGCGGGTATTTATAGACAACAACGTGTTTCTGAGCAGTATTGTTTTAAAACCAATCGTATTTCACATAACATTCAACTTGGATCTTTATTGATAAAAGCATCTAAAGCAATAGATTTTATTGTTGGAAAATGGTATAATCCAGTCAGATAGCGAGTGATGCCATATGTGGATTGAATGAGATAGCAGCATAAAGAAAACATACAGTTAAATATGTTAAAACCAATATTTGATGTATTTGAACATATCGCCACACAAAATGATATTTAAGCGTTATTTTATCGATCGGGATTAATTATGCGTTTTTTCATTGAAGAATTGGGGTATTTGTCCATATAATGAGTGCTTGTGATTTGGTTGGAAGTTAAAAAATATTCAATGAACTAAATGATGAGAGTGTTGGAAACAACTAAGTACATACGATAAAAAGTATGTGGAATGTGTATAATTTTTTTTCAGGTGTGTTCAATAATACATTTTTCTTGTTTATTAAACAATGATTGAACAACAATTGTTGCTTCTGATGTAAATGTGTAAGTGCAACTTTTAATTAGTCCAAACAAAATCTTTATAAAAGCAAATATATTTTTAAAATAAGACATTCTACATTGTGGAATAACACTGGGAAATACACAGAATTTCGAAAATAAAGTAAAGTCAGCTTTTATTAAGTATAAACACACCAAAAAATTAAAAGTAAGTCAATTAATACTAATAATGATTAGTAATATGGACATTTATTGATTTTAATGATTAAAATGATAATGATCATTATAAACATTGTGGTTAAAAAACATCATTTGTACGAAAAATGATACTTTATTATTTATGTTTTTGACAGTATATATCTTAAAGTCTATTAAGTCTTTTAATCTTTTGAACAATTGAATAATTAACTGAATTAATTTTGAAGTTTCGAAATTAAAACTTATTTCTAAATCTATGTAATGTAAATTAACAATTCAATAATCAATCAATTCATCATGTTTTGAAGTTTTTCTCTTACAGTTTCAATGGTGATTCTTTCTTCTTTTTCGTGTTCCCAACAGTTTGATATCAGTTCATACTGTTCATTAGTCATACAATCAAGTTTTTGGAGACGATTTCCACCATTCACAAAGTCTGCTATTTTCCATGGAAATTTAAATTCACTTTTTGGGTACGCTTCTCGCCAAGATATAGTCTCAAACATTGTGATAGCAAATGAATAAATGTCTGCACTCTTTTTGTACTTATCTTGTTTCAAAATCTCGGGTGCCGTGTAAGTTGGTGTTCCAACACCTTTAGTGAATGTCATGTTTGTTTGCAGCATATTCACATTTCTCGAAGATCCAAAGTCAGTCAATTTAGCATTCACCTTTTCATTCACATCCAGTGATAACACTAGAAAATTGTCTGGCTTGATGTCTCTGTGTAATATCCCATTCTCGTGTAAATATTGAATACCTTTTGCCGCATCAAGTAAAAATTTAATTCGCAACTTCATTTCAATTTCATCACTCTTCTTGTGTTTGATCAAGTCTTGGAGTGACCCAAATGTTGCAAATTCGGTGACCATACACACCTTACTTGGTATGAATACAGCGCCATAAAAGTGTATGATGTAATCACATCGGAACTTGTCTAGCATTGCAACTTCCTTCTCAAACTCTGCAAGTCCACTTTCATAATTATCAAGTTGTTTCATCTTTTTGATTGCAACACATACGCCTCTGTATTGCCCTTTGTAAACGATCCCAAAACTGCCTTCGCCAAGCTTCTCGTCTTCTGTAATTTCTCTATAATTCAATTTAGTTGTTTGTTCAGTTTCGATTTCCATTTCAATTTTTGCATTTTCAATGACACCAGTTGCTATATTTAACGAAGTTATTGCTACATGTTCTTTGGTGACACAGGTACACAGCGGCTTGATAAATACCTCAAACTCACAAGCATATCCAGGCTTCAATGTCACAAGTGGTGGCACACTCCGTATTTCATAATAGTCACACCCTTCCATCACACTGAACTGCACTTTCAAGTTGCTGTTGGACACATTTCCGATACATATCAAATCTCTTGTCTCAATATCGACTTTAAGTAAGTCATTGTTATCCAAATCAAATTTCAGTGTTGTCTTGTTTGTCACCAAATTTGCATTCAATTTGACCATCTCAATGTTTGACCGACTCATTTTGAAGTTGCAAATGTTCTGCTCTTTCTTCTTTTGTTTTCTTTTTTGTATCATTGATATCACAATAATTATAATAGCAACAATAAACACTATGATCACAAAAGTCATCGATAACGGCACGCCAACAACCAACCCATAATTAGTCTCTTTGACGCAATAATCACCAGCATCACTTGGTTTGTGAAATCCCTCACATTCTGTGCACTTTGAATTATTCGCAGAGAGACAAAACTCAACACTTTTGTAACTCACACACTGCGAGTCAACCAACACATAATTTTTTTCAACACAGTTTTTACAATTTTGATAGTTGTCACATGAAATGCAGTTTTCAGAACAGTTTTTGCAAATGTAATTATCCAAGTAATACCCATTCTCACATTTTACACACCCAATCGGCGTTTTAGTAACACAATTAGTCAAGTTGTCATATGACACACACAGTTTATTTTCACTGCCAGATAGTTTGAAATATTCGTTTCGGCAACTCAAACACGACAAGCCATCAACACAAGTACCACACGACTCATCACAAGCAATGCAGTCTGTTTTTTGTTTGTAATAGTGGTCTTTGCATATTGCACATCCACCGCCTGTTGGCAGTGTCAATTCACATTTTGTAAACAAGTCGCCAAGTGGTTCACATGTAAAGGTGGAAGATAAATAATACTGATGATCGCATGTCAAGCAATATGTTGTGTTGTAACAATTATCGCAGTGATCCGAACACAACTCACATTCGCTGTTAATGTTATAGTAACCAGAATTGCATCTCTCACATCCTTTGTTGGTACGAGTGAAACACGAGGTTTCACCACTTTTCATCATTTGTTTTGTGTTAGTAACATTGTTTTCGTCTTCATCAATATCATCAAAATTTTCTGAACAATTCCCATTTTTCAGTTTAAAACTATCCAAACATTCAACACACATTGATTGTGAAATCAGTGAGTATTTACAGTCGGCTATTTGAGATAAAGAAATTGGAATACAAAAATCGTATTTTCCTTCATTGTTGAGAGTTTCAATCGGATTAAACCCTTCATTACATTGTGAACAAAAGAGACCATCGGCTTTGACACACCCAACTTCACTTTGTTCAACACATAATCCGTTTGTTTGTACAACATAATTGTCATTGCACTTTTTGCACTTTCCACCTTCACAATATTTGCAATTTGGTATTGAACACGCCGAGCATTGTCCATATTTTAGTTCCATGTTAATATCAACACATTGTGAGCAATAATCTTTGCCGTATTTTACACATTTGTTTTCACTATTGCAGCTCATTGTTTCAACATCATAAACTTTATCTTTTGAACACGACAAAATTGTTCTTTTGGCTTTGTAGTTGATACAAATTGAAGAGTAATCAGTACATTTCACACACTGATTGTTTTCATTCAAATAATTGCCATTTTCACATCTGTAAATAACATTGTTTCGAGTTGTTATGTTCGCAACAACTTGACAAATATCATCTTTAAAAACATATTTATCTTCACATTGAATGCATTCCTTTTGATTTTTGTTGTTTTTCTGATATTTGCATTTTGAAACTGTGCTTTGGCAGTCTGAGCCAACTGATATTTGATATGAACAGTCACACGACACTTTCGAAAGAGTTGATTTGTTTACACAATTGGTTGCTGGTACACATTTGT